ATATATATATATATATATATATATATATATCATAACCAATTGGGATTCATCCCAGAAATGCCAGGTTGACTTAACATTGGAAAATCAGTATAATTCAACCTATATCAGAAAAAGAAGAGAAAAAAAAAAATCACATAATCATCTCAATATATGCAAAAAAAGCATTTGACAAAATCCAGCATCCAATACTGATAAAAATTATCAGCAAAACAGGAGAAAAGGTAACTTCCTCAGCCTAATAAAGGATATCTATGAAAAAAAAAATACAGCTAATGTCATATTTAATGGTGAAAACCTGAATGTTTTTATCCTAAGATCAGGAATAACACAAGCATGTATACTTTCTCTGGTCCTATCTGATATCTACTAAAGGTTCTAGCCAGTGCAATATGCAAGAAAAATAAATAAAAGGTGTATTTGCAGATGACATGATTATGTAGAAATCTAATGCAATCTATAAAAAAGCTACTAAAACTAGTAAGTGAATGTAAAAGGTTGTAGGATAAAAGATGAATACATAAATATTAATTGTATTGCTTTGTACTAGCAACACAATAGGAAATTGAAATTTAAAGAGGTATGAAAGTGCTTTTAGAACACAATTAAGGGGAATTAGTTAGAGAAAAAAGGATATTTGAGCTAGACCTTGAATGATGAGTAAGAATTTTTCAGTTAAATTAAGGGTATTCTACTAATATTGTCAAAATGGCCATCCTGCCTAAAGCAATCTACAGATTCAATGCAATCCCTATCAAAATACTGACAGCATTCTTCCATGAACTAGAGAAAATAGTTTTAAAATTCAAATGGAACCACAGAAGACCCTGAATAGCCAAAGCAATCCTGAGAAGGAAGAATAAAGGTGGGGGGATTATGCTCTCTGACTTCAAGCTCTACTACAAAGCCACAGTAATCAAGACAATTTGGTACTGGCACAAGAATAGACCCATAGATCACTGGAACAGAATAGAGAGCCCAGATATAAACCCAAGAATATATGGTCAATTAATATGTGATAAAGGAGCCATGGATATACAATGCGGAAACAACAGCCTCTTTAACAACTGGTGTTGGCAAAACCAGATGACTACATGTAAGAGAATGAAACTGGATAATTGTCTAACTCCATACCCAAAAGTAAACCGGAAATGGATCAAAGACGTGAATGTAAGTCATGAAACAAAACTCTTAGAGGAAAACATAGGCAAAAATCCCTTGAATATAAACATGAGCAATTTTTTCCTGAACACATCTCCTCGAGCAAGGGAAACTAAAGCAAAAATGAACAAATGGGACTACATCAAACTAAAAAGCTTCTGTACAGAAAGGACACCATCAACAGAACAAAAAGGCATTCTACAGCATGGGAGAATATATTCATAAACAACATATCTGATAAGGGGTTAACATCCATAATATATCAAGAACTCAAATGCCTCAACACCCAAAAAGCAAACAGTCCAATTAAAAAATGGGTGGAGGATCTGACCAAACACTTCTCCAAAGAAGAAATTCAGATGGCCAACAGGCACATGAAAAGATGCTCCACATCACTAATTATCAGGGAAATGCAAATTAAAACCACAATGAGATATCACTCACACCAGCTAGGATGGCCAATATCCAAAAGACAAACAACAAGAAATGCTGGCGAGGATGCAGAGAAAGGGAACCCTCCTATACTGTTGGTGGGAATGTAAATTAGTTCAACCATTGTGGAAAGCAATATGGAGGTTCCTCAAAAAACTAAAAATAGAAATACCATTTGACCTAGGAATTTACCCGAAGAAAACAAGATTTCAGATTCAAAAAGACTTATGCACCCCTATATTTATTGCAGCAATATTTACAATAGCCAAGAAATGGAAGCAACTTAAGTGTCCATCAGTAGATGAATGGATAAAGAAAATGTGGTACATATACACAATTGTTTTCAGCTATAAGAAGAAAACAAATCTTACCATCTGCAACAACATGGATGGAGCTAGAGGGTATTATGCTCAGTGAAATAAGTCAGGCAGAGAAAGACAAGTACCAAAAGATTTCACTCAGTTTGTGGAGTATAACAACAAAGCAAAACTGAAGGAACAAAACAGCAGCTGACTCACAGACTTCAAGAAGGGACTAGCGTTTACCAAAGCAAAGGAGGTGGAGGAGGTGGAGAAGGAGGGAGAAGGGGATTAAGCGGCATTATGATTAGTACACATAATGTAGGAGGGGTCACAGGGAAGGCAGTACAGCACAGAGAAGACAAGTAGCGACTCTGTTGCATCTTACTACACTGATGGACAGTTACTGTAATGGCGTGTGTGGGGGGAGATTTGGTAATATGGGTGAATGAAGTAACTACAACTTTGCTAATGTGAAACCTTCATAAGATTGTATATCAGTGATACCTTAATAAAAAAAAGAGAGAAGAAAAAAAATTAAGGGTATTCTAGGCAGAGGGAACAACACTAATAGGCAGGTGAGATTGTAATAAGAAAGCACACAAACTTGGAGGTGCCTAAGGGGTGTGCATGTATGTGTGCATGGTCTTTGCCACATGATGGCCCCAGCAAGTCTCTTACTTTGGGGCTTACTGTTGACAAACAGCCTTAAACTGAAAGTGGTCCAGACAAACTAGGTAACATTAAGTCCCCTTTCAATTCAAGACCATCAGAGACCATCAAAGCAACAGAAAATCTGCCACCCTTAATGAACTAATGAATTCTACCTGAGGATATCACACTCAGGCCATAGGCACGCCACGTATGTAAGTGAAACATTCCACACAGTTCTAATCCCTTGTGCAAGAAAGACAGATGCAGAAGTTCAGGGTCCTTGTTCAGATCCTTCATTCAGTAGATATCGTCAGTACTTATGAGTTATTTCAAACTCAGCCTAGCAGCTAAGACTCTGCTATCTAGACAAGCTCACTGAAGCTATTTCCAGATATGGCTTATCTAGTTAATGGTATAACTGAAGCTAGTTTTCAGATTTACCAGAAAGAGTAATTTTCAAATGTTCTAAATTAATTGTACTTCCTGCTGGTCACTAGAACTTTGCTTGTACTTGCCAAATGACTTAGGAGTGTACAGGTAAGGGGCCTTTCTGAATGTACTACAGAAAAACAATGAAATGTACACTTAAGTGTGAATTAGTGTGAATTATATCTACATATTGCTGCTACTTCAAAAAAAGAATCATCTTCAAGGATTTATGAGCTCTTAAAGAATGCTTTTGTTCTGATCCAATAGACAATATTCTGTAGATTTAGTAATCATCAGTTTAAACCAATCATTTTTTAAAATCAGAAATATGACTCAGAGGATTCTTATACAGTGACAAGTGGTACTTTCTTCTCTCCTGCTGTTTTGTTTCCCAGCCAGACCCATATTAGGTTACATTAAATCTTGTCATAAAAAGAAAAGAGTTTTATATCTGGCAATAAAATTCTGTTAGCTTAAATTCCAAGAGTTTAAAAAACACCTAGCACATCATTAGTTTCACTTTCATCATGAAATAAGTTAGCCCATGTCACCAATAATAAACCAAGGGATACAACATTTAGGTAATACCCCCAGATCCCTTATGTTCTTAATCCATTGTTCAACCATTCTGACAAAGAGCTTTTTTCTAAGATGTTCTTTCTTACCTGGTCTCAAAGGTGTGACAAGAGCTTGCTGAGGATTAGCCTTCCTCAGAGGAGTTTTGCTCTGAAAAATACCTCCTGTCCCATTCTTCCCAGGAAATTTATTCTCCAAATTGGCTTTTTCCTCTGTGAAAAGGTAAGAGCATCATCATAAACAATCAGCAAGGAAACAAAATAAATCAGTGCCATGCATTTAAAATGGGGCCTAAGGCCCCTTACCTGTACACTCCTAAGTCATTTGGCAAGTACAAGCAAAGTTCTAGTGACCAGCAGGAAAGGAGCAGGAGTGTACGTCAGAGATATACTATAACAGCTGTCATTAAGACACTGGTAACACTGAACAAAGTATAATAAAAAAGGAGAAGTGCAGACTCTGCATTGTGAACAGCTCCTTATCTTTGTTTGATACATATTTAGGACCATATAAGAACTGGCCTCATCCACCACTTAAATATAATTTTATCTTCAAGAAAACTGGAGCCACCAAGATCTGCAGGGCTTACAAAGGAACATCTCATAGTTTGAGTTGAGGTTCTTCCTAGGATGAACTAGGATGGTGAGAGGGAAGTTTGGGGTATGTGAGGATGAAACAGAGCTAGGCTCTCTCGAGGAATTATTTTTTTTTTGAGAGGGCATCTCTCATATTTATTGATCAAATGGTTGTTAATAACAATAAAATTCTGTATAGGGGGGTCAATGCTCAATGTACAATCATTAATCCATCTCAAGCCTAATTCTCGTCAGTCTCCAATCTTCTGAAGCATAACGAACAAGTTCTTACATGGTGAACAAGTTCTTACATGGTGAACAGTGCAAGGGCAGTCATATCACAGAAACTTTCGGTTTTGATCACGCATCACGAACTATAAACAATCGAGTCAGATATGATTATTCATTTGATTTTTATACTTGATGTATATGTGAATCCCACATTTTTCCCTTATTTTTTTTTTAATAAAATGCTGAAGTGGTAGGTAGATGCAAGATAAAAGTAGAAAACATAATTTAGTGCTGTAAGAGGGCAAATGTATATGATCAGGTCTGTGCCTATAGACTAAGTATTAATCCAAGCTAGACAAGGGCAACAAAACATCCACAGATGCAGAAGATTTCTCTCAAAACAGGGGGGGTGAGGTTCTAAGCCTCACCTCTGTTGATCCCCAATTTCTCACCTGATGGCCCCCCTGTGACTGTGCCTGTCTTAGGTTGTTCCTCCCTTGAGGAATCTTACCCGTCTCTGGCTAACCAGCTGTCTTCCAGAGCTCTCTCAAGGAATTTTATCTTAGTTTCTGCTGTGCCCAAAAGTCAGTGCAAAGCAGTGAAACATCTGTTCTACCAACAGTCTACTGATAGATAGAAGCTTGAAGAATACAGTGAGCCTCAGCAATAATACCACAAATATACAACTGTGTAAAAAGATGTGATTGTTTGGAAGTCAATCAGAAAGTAATATGTTAGAAATAAAGTGGTTTTGAAAAATAGTGGTATATTTTTCTTCCAAACTGTATTTAACAGTACTGTCATGCCAATAATTCCTTTTTTTGTTTTAAAGAAAACTTAGAAAAAGAGATAGACCACCCAGGCCTTTCCTTAGGGTTTCAGTGGAGCAAGGGCATGGAGAAGACCTGTGTAGGGCAGCTGGCCCTCTTTTTTATCTTTCCTCCCACAGCACTTCCAACAGACCCCTCCTGTCGGGATTCCCAATGGATACCAATAAATACCATCACATTTGGACATTGCACTATAAATGATAAGTGCAACTGCAATGGACTCACTTTTGAACCCATCACATACTTATTTCTCTTAGTAAGGAGGATAAAGACATGAGAAAGAACAAAATGAAGAGGACCCAGCAACTACTAGCCTGATGTTATCACTGCTCTCACATATTATTCCAAAGTCATATAAAATCATAACCACATCCTTACTTATTGTTGACCTGGTATCACAGTTTGTGTCATATCACACTACCCAACAATAGGGAATCCTATCTCTGCTTTGGGCACTGGGGCCTAAGCAGCCTAATCCCTCCACTTAAAAATGAATTGGTGAGGAGTAATAAAAGGGAGGTGAGTATAGCTATAAAAGGGCAACACAAGGATTCACAAGTTAGAACTATTCAATATCTTGACTATGGTGGTAGATAAGCTACACAGGTGATAAAATTGCATAGAACTTAATAAACATAAATGAATACAAGTGAAATGGGAAATCTGAGTAAGATTGGTGGATTGTATCAATGTCAATATCCTAGTAGTAATATACTCTATGGTCAGTGACAGTAGAACAAGTTTTTTATGGGCTGCCATCACCACCCACATGTTCTGAGTCCTAGAGTTTCATTCAACTTTGTTTCATTTGGATTTTCCTATCTGTCCCTAAGGCTCAAGTGTTTGTCATTCTTAATTGCAAAATAACATTGATTTGTACTGTTAGTCCATTCCCAAAATACTGGGCGTTTCCATTATTTTATCATCCATGGATAACAAAGTGTCTTGGTGCAAAAAGGAGTTTATATTTCAGTTATTTTCTTATAACCCCTTCTGTATTTTGAGAGGTCCCCTGCACAAAGCAAGCCAATAACCCTTGAAATGGCAGGAGAAAGGACACACTTACCAAACCAAGAATCTATGTTTTGGTGATCTTCCTCATCATCCAAAGATGTAAAATTTATGAAGTCCGTGGGAGCATCATAGGAATAGGAGATTTTAACTTGTGACATTGTCCCTCCTTGGCACAGAAGAGCACGCTTTCCCCAGTATTCGTGTCACTCTTCTCAACAGGTCACTTCCTAAGGAAAGAAGGATGTTCAGAAACTTGGCTGCATATTAACCTAAAGTGCTGAGTCCCTAGCAATTACTTTGTGTTTACTATCACATTCATAACTCTGAAAATCATCTGGGCAATATATCTTACTTTTAAAACCAAACTAAAAATTCACTTTTCTTTTCTTGTGATTTGAAGACACTCCTTGAGGTAAATATGTTGGCATCAATATGAAGCAAAGTTTGCCAAGTACCTACAACATGCCAAACTCTGGGCCAGGTGTTCTACATTATTTTATTTTCCTTCAATCCACCAGTTTCTCATTTCTAGTCTCCCCCACATCCAATTCCTTCTCTCTTTCTCTTCTCTGAATAACCCAGTTTCTGAAGCACACCATTAAATTTTATACCCGCAAACCAAAATTTTACTCATCTTTCAAATTCAATTCAGTTCTCTATGAACTCTTCCCAATTTCTACCTATCATACATAATTGCTGCCTCTCCAAAACCATACTGCTTTGCTTACCATCCTATTTTATACTCTTTAACTATGCAAATGTCTCTCCTGGTAGACTATAGGTTTCTGAAGGCAAAGATGGATTTCATGCACTTGTATATACCTCATCCATTAAGGAGCTTAGAACAGTTTTTTATACATAGTAAGAGCTCAGTACAGTTTTGACAAGCATAGATTTTCTTTCCTTAGAAATATTTTCATAAAAACACTCTTCTTGGGCATGAAGATAAAGACTAAAACACAGCATGCAGATTAGGCAAAAAGAGTAAGTCAAAGATACGCGCCATCCCTGCTGCCATATACAAAGTTCCACACTCTGTCTTGTGGAAACCTGCATAGGCTTAAAGTCAGCCCCCATCCAGCCCTGTATGGTTAAGAAAATAGCTGGAAGTAGTTTGAAAAATAGCCCAAAGGCCACATGCACTGGCAAGTAATTTCCCTATGAAATCCAATTAGTAGATACCAGTAATCACTTGCATGTGTGTTTATGAAATTAAGTACCTTTAAGTCCTTATTTTATTATAAAAATATGTACTTATTAAAAACATTAGATCACAAAAACTTTTATTAGTAATCTACAGTGCCACACTGTTTCAGACTCCTGCCTTCTCTTTCTCTCTATATATATATAAACTTTTTTTAATGGGATCACTGACATTTTGAATCTGCTTCAGACACCAAGAGCATTTTCCACCAATAAATAAAGCTATGTCAACTGATAGCTGCACCAAAACTTCCTTATTCCCTATTTTTAGGCTTTTCCCGATATTTTCACTTTAAAGATACTAGTAGGAGAATATCCTTATAGCTAAATTTCTACACACATCCATAATTCTTCCCTTAATTAAGATGAATTCTTAAAGATGGAATTGCTGGCCCTTGACACATAACTGTAAAAATGTTCCTCAGAAGAGTAATACCCACTTACATTACCAGAGAGGTGTGCAGTTCCCCAAACCATCATCAATTCTGGGCACTAACAGCCCAATGCTCATTTTCTCTACATTAAACCACTATACCTATACTCTGAGCTAAACCATGAGATTAGTTACACTATACTCACTGTTGCTCAGTGGTCTGGCCAGCATTTCATTAGCCTCTCTCAGTAGACAGGGAAAATTCAGAAGGTACTTCAGGGCCTCAGAAACACTTGTTCTGACAAATATTTGGTTTACGTACACCAGATAATTTCATCTTCCCAGTCTCTCCTATGAACTCACTGCTGTCAGAATTCCACAGATACCTTTTTAACAATGCCCCAAATGAGGTACTTAGTGTGGAAACATGACATTTTGGAACTGGGAGGAATCTTAGATGACGCCTAATGTTTGCAATTTATAGGTAGGGATTAATTAAAACAAAAAGGAGTCCTCCAAGATCTCACAAAATGATTATGGTAGAAACAGTTACCAAAATGCTTCTACATGCCAGGCACCATGAAGTACTAAATACATACTATTTCTAATATTCTCAACAATCCTGTAAAGCAACAATTATTATCTCTATCCTGGAAGAGGAAGTTGAGGATAATACAGATTAAATGACTTGCCCAAATTCAATTATATAAAGGCAGAACTAGATCTAGAACTGACACTCCTAACTTCAATACAACATTCTCTCCACATGATTCTGCCCTCTCACCCTGTGAATCAGAGAAGCATGTTAGTGCAGTTGAAGTCTCTATTGGCTGAGAAATAGTATTGGACTTACTTCCAAGTAGATACATTCTCCATAGTCTTTTGCTCTGAAGAGAGGATTCTTTATTATCCTCCTAAATTTTTCACTGTCCCCCATTTCTACTTTCATTATTCAATTTAATTCAAGCTATTTGTTAGTGGTCTGCTCTTATTATACACTTGCTTGGAGCCATAAGATGTGGCCTTGATGTATTGGAGCTCTTTTCTCACTAATATTCAAGGATGAGACTCTATGTCTCATACAAAAAGTAGACCTAGTCTCAGGCACAAAGGTATTTAAAATCTAGATAGGAGCTAAGTTCTATTACACTCAATAAGTAAGACAGTATACAATATTAAATTGTATAGTATAAACTCTAAGTATAAAGAGAATTAGAGATTAATTAACATGGCTTAAGCCAAACTATGAGTAAATATTTTCTATGAATATCATCAAAACAGTACAGTAGGACTCACACTAATACCAGAAGTCACCTCCTTGATCACCACCTTCCAAGACTGGAGTAGCCACAATTATGGCCAGTGAAAACAAGGTAGGAATCTGCTGAGGGACTCATAAGAAAACTCTTACTTTCCTGATACAGCTACAGCCCCCATTCCTGCCCTATCACTTCACCCTTCTTGACTTGAAAGCAGACAGGCCTAGAGCTATAGCAGCCATTGCATACAAGTGAATGTGTGGGTAAGAGAGTAACAAACATTGGCCCTGACATCTCTGAACAACTGAGCGTGGATGACCAAGTATCTGCAACCATCTACCTCCAGACAATAATACCCTTTTTATACAAGCCATTAAAGTTACATTTTCTGTCACTTATAGCCAAAAATACTCCCAACTAACACGGAAGTCCAGAATTCTAACTCTGTCTCTAACATTTACTAGACATATATGACAGTGGGCACATCACTCTACCTTCCTGCCCACCTACTTCCCATAAACAAATGAGAAGGCATTTTAAGTGCTATGAAATACCTTCATGTCAGGTATTATCACTGCCTTTTGACCCACTGATGCCTTTTCTCTCCTTGACCACATTTGTATTCAAAAGACCCTTCCTGAAAAATTCCCCAGCAACTGACAGTGGTTAAAATTCCCCTGCAGTGAGGAGGAAGTTTTCCTGTTCTATTGAACAAACATGCTGAAACACATGGGAAAATCTTGGATTCCCATGATCTTAATGCCTAACCCAGGTCACTGGGAACACTTCCCAGGCAGGAATGTAATGAAGACAACTAAAGCTGGGGGAGGGAAGAGGCAGGAATGCAATATGCAGCAGCCCCTCTCAGCTTCCTAAAACCATGATCCCCCTGAAGCATGCTGCTGAAAACCACCTGGAAAGCATTCAAATTTAACTCCTCATATCCTTTTTTCTTTTTTTAATTATGGAGCTATACTGCTGGCCTCTTTGCAGGTCAATTTGCATTTTTCTTTTTGCTAGATCTTGCCAAATGTAGAAATTGAGCTTATAGATATCTATCAATGCTTATATAAGTCTAAGAAAGTTCACCACAACATTGTTCACACAAGCAAAAAAATAGAAAGCCAAAATTACACCAACAGGAGATTGGTTGGATAAATTATGGCATAACTGTATATAAAAAATGAAATAATTTTAATATTAGGTAACTTTGCATATGTGATATGTATAGAATGAGCTCCAAGAGCAATTAAGTGAGAAAAGTAACATACACAAGTGTGTGCTCCCACTGATGTTAAAAAGAATGAAAGGAGCAATATATAAACTATTATGGAAACAGACACAAAAGTGTTAACAATATTTGAGTCTGGAAAGAGAGCTGGAAGTTCTGGGTCAGGGGAAAATTTTTCACTATGTGAACTTTTACATTCTGGATATATTTTATTATGTAAATGCATACCTTTTCAGTTTAAAGAACTAGTTAAACAGTAATTATTCCCCCCAGAATCTATGTTTACAGTCCAGAGGTCACTGAACTTTCTGGAATTTTTATTAAGTATTCTTGATAATTCAGCAATAATTATTAAACCTCTTGACTATGGGAAATAATGCTTCCCATTTACACGGTCAATAAATTGGCTACTAACTTCATGTATCCAAATGTTATATATTCTTTTTCTTTTTTTAATGTTCCTGAATAAAAACAAAAGTTCCTGGGTCTGACTTAATAAAAAGGTACATCAACTTGAAAAAAAAATTAAAAATAATAACAGCTATTAATTACTGAGTACTTAGGACATGTCAGACACTGTTGGCAGTGTTTTATGTGTATTAATTCAGTAAATCCTCACAATAATCCTATGAAATAGGTACTGTCATTATATTTGAACTCAGGCCCTAAGGTTATAACCTAAACCACTGCACTATCCACTGCCTCTCACATTTATTTAAAAATAGACAGTATATAGATCAATATGAAATGTCAAGGAACAAGGGACATCTATATAACTTCCAAGTACTGACTGTCTACTACAGGCCAAGCAACTTACCAAGGCACTTCACATAAATCATCTCATCCAAACTGCATTAACAATATAGAAGGTAGATATCATCACCATGATTTTCAAATAAGGGAACAGGCTCAGAGAAGTTAAACTACTCTGAGATCACCAACTAGTAGGCAGCAGTATTGTTTGAAGATGAGGTCTGGGATCCCTATAATATACAAGGTTTTCCTATAACTATTCCTTCAAAACTGAGGTAGGTAAACAAATCATACTAACTTGTCAAACGCAAAAATAACTGCTATATATAAAAATTAAGCATCCCTGACAAGTTGTTCATAAAGAACACTCTGATAAACCTATTCTAAATACACTGAGAAAACTCTGAGCTAAATGTTCTCATAAAGTAAAACACCATCTCTTTTCTCTTTCTCAGTTCATACTCTTGTATATAAAGATTTTGCTGTATGTAAGATGGAGGCTAGTTTGAATCTTTCAGTGAATAGTATAGAGTAAAAGAGACTATGAAAAGAGTATTAAGGAAGTTATTTAAGGAGGGATATTTTCTGAGCGTAGGAGTGCATTTCATTGGTGGGGGTTAAACGGCAAGGTGCTCAAACCTAAATACACCAATTTCTTGTTTAGGTGAAACTTTAAAACCAAAATACCATTTTTCCAACATGACTTATTTTTAAAGAAGCTTCTATTGAGCCATCTTTTTATCTAATAGGCCAACTCAGGAGATCATTCCCACCCTCAAATCCCCCCAAAAAGGGAACAAATACATATCCATTGAGAAGTCTGACTTTCTTCAATAAAAAGGTGACAGCGCAAGTAGATAAACAATAAACAAAACCAAAAGCAACTACTGGGTTATACCAGTTTCACCACACTGATTCTCCCATAAATAACAAATATTAGGATATGAAACCTTCAAAAATTAAAAATCACAAGGCCTAGTAGGAAATGGAACAGACCAGAGCCAGAGCCAACTGTTTAAATGAGAGAGCCCCAGGCATGATGGGAACTGGATACCTTCCTATACCGCTTAATCAAGATTGAATTTCTGTCAACAGGTCTCACTGAGAAAAAAAAAAAGGGCACATGCGTCAACCACATTCCCCCAAACAAACCAAGCTGCCAAGCAAGAGAATCAGCTTCACATTTCAAAATTATCTGAATCCACCACACCACAGCTTCAGCCGCCTGTAAAACTAGAAACATTTAGAGTGAAGAAATAGTTTTCTGATCAATAATCCTTCAACACACCTGAGCAAAAAGCCTCACAGCTGAGGAAAAAAGCCTCTACCCTATGTCATGAACTAGTTAGGTTCCTTCTAAAATTGCCTATTAATAAGTGTCATCCATTCTATCACACAGTTCATTTTTGTTTCTAAAAGACAAAGATTGAAAGGATATATATATATAACCGTAAAATCCCTTCCCTTCAGGAACACACATTTGAATGAATGCCAGCAACTATGGTAGTTTTGATACATGGTGATCCTTGCTGTAATGGAGAATAAGCCAAGAGCACTAGGGAAGTGCAGAGAAGGAAAACAAGGTGAAGAAGAGTCAGAAGCTCCCTGGTAGAAGTAATAAACAGAAGATAAAGACAGACCTGCAGAGTTCCAGAGGCTAAAGATGAATATTGACTTTCTCCAGAAGAGATAAATGGAAATGCTAAACAAATAAGGAGAAAGTAGACAGTTGAAGAAGACTTCAAAAGTAGCAATAGCAATGTAACTTGTTTCCACATTCATCTGAAATTAACCTCCCTCCTGTCTTGTGTCTTCATTCTCACACCAAAAATAACTAGCCTTGACAAGCTCTATAAATCAAAAGGTGCAGGTTCAGAGGGGGTGGGGGAAACAGCAAAAGGGCGCATTCTAAACAAGGCTGAAATAGTGGAGTAGCAGCTACTAAGCAAAACAAAGACTTTGTTGTGATAGATGCTTTCAAGCACCTCACTGTCCAGCTGTATCTTGCCTGTTTCTATTGAAGGAAAGTCATGAGTTAAACAATTGGTAGTACAATAGAGTAAAGAGTAACTGACTTCATTAGAAGTGTAGTTAGGTAAGATGGTCCCATCCCAGGCAGTGCTGTTTCCCTAGGGACACCCACTCCTACTTTCACAAGGGATAAGAGATCCTGTTACAGTACCACAAGTTAAATAGAGTTGAGTTATTTTCATCTTACCCAGGGAGAAAACACCTACATTTTTTTTTTTGCACATAAGGGATTAGCAGGAGTCAGTAAATGGCAACATAATCCAGCATGCAATTTTAACTGTTAATCAAAGTCATAAACTAAGTCTGAAGGAAGTTAATGGACTTTGTGTTTCCACATTTATGTTCACTAACTTCTATGTTGAAATCGGAACTGTTTACAGAAACAGATCTATGGAGCTTCCAAAATTGGGTCAATTTAAAATCCAATGACAATCTCTCACTATCCAAGCACTCAGAAGTCAGCACAGGACACATGGACACTTGTTCTAATTCATCACTGTCCAGAAACCTCAAGCAAATACACTTTTCTATTCTTTCTCCCCCAAACTTGTGAGTTTCTTATCACTCCTTTTGAAGGATTAGAAACTCAGTTCCTTTAATTTATCCACAGAACTCTATGAACTATAATCTACTCTTACCGGACTGACTGAACAGAACCTAGATAAAAAACAATGATGCCATTTATCTCTAGACCAAATAATGACACGATCTTTGTAGAATACTGAAAGGAAATCTTTGTACAATAGCAAAGTGTTGTGATGTTCTTAGTTCTTAGTTGTGTGTAGTTCTACACACACTACAAGTGTGTAAGGGTTGACAGTGAGGCTGTAGGAGGTTATAACCCTAGTTGAATCTCAATTACTCAGTCTTACAGAGATCTGCATCTTTCAAAAGGTATCTGGTTTGGGAAGTACACATAAACAAACACCCAAGACCTTAAAACTAAAAAGTGACTGCCTATGGGATGACATGGAATGAGGTAAACAGTGACAGGGTTGGAAAATTTTGAACTGTAAGTTTTTTTATATTACTTTGATTTTTGCACCATGTGACTGCATTATATATTTTAAAAAAGGTAAATTTGTGCCTGTGTGAATATACACTATTAAGTGGGAATGTAAATCAACATAATTTTCCAGTGAGCCAATCTGATGTTATATATCAAGCCTTAAAAATGTACATTCTTTATGACCAATGATTTAACTGGGTAAAATATTACAATAGAACCATATAATGTACCATACGGCCATTAAAATTATGTTTTAAAAAATTTTAATGACATGAAAAAAATGCTCAAATTGTTTTAAATTTAAAAAATGAAGGTTTTTAGTGATGATTTTTTAAAAGCAAATATAGGTACGGAAAAAAACTGGAAATAAATCTATAAAAATGTTAGCCAGTTTACCTGAGAAATGGGATAGTGAGTGATATTACTTTCTTTTGCTTTTCTATGTTAAGTATATTTTCTTCCAAAATGTGCTACTTTATAAAAGATGCACTAAGTTTATTTAAGCACTTTTAAAGTTAATACATTAACATTTCCCTTATTCCTTTTTAATGCAATTCAGTGCAGACACAGCCTTACCTGTATGTGGTTTAATCACAGAAGTTACAATATACTCTTTTACCTCTTCTGAAATCTTGAAGCCTAGCAAGTACTTCTTATCAAGACCTGAAGAAACAGAAGGTGATGAAACAGGTTCAAGTTTTTAATAATAAAAAACAGAAAAAGAAGGGACAATAAAAGACCAAGGCTCACTCTCAAAACCGAGTGCTTCTGAGAACTAAGGTCTAAATAGCACAGTTACTCCCAAATGCCAACAGATTACTGTTTCCTTAGTGTAGAAATGTTCTTAAAAAAATTTTAATGTATATTTGCTATCTCCTGATGTCTTTGATATTACATACTCCCACTTTAAAGCAATCTTTCCAAAACCTGCAATTTAGGAACACTGACACCAAAGGGTGGCAGTACGTACTTCAAGCCTATTTGAACATCAGGACAATAAGAGCTACACTTAAAAATAGGAAAAGACTTTTACTACCTTTTTTTAGTTAAAAACAAATAGAAATAGCTTTTTTAATTTGAAAATAAACACCTTTCTCACTCACCTTTAATTTCCTTCTAATCAAGATTCTCTGTACAAACAAAGAACCCCTCCCAGTTATCTATAATTATTTCACAAAGTACCTTTACCCTGAGCTGTTGATCTCTATGTTTATTCAGATCTATTCAGAGTTGCTTGGGCTGTTCAACCTCCCTGTAGTCAATTCTGCTTTCCAACTTTACCCATAGCAAAAAAATACTAAGTTTGCCAAAGGGCATTTAAATCTCCTTTCTTACCCAGCAATTCAAAATGAATTAAGCAAGAGACCTAGGAAAGACTGAAGAAAAATAAATACAGGGCATATAGAACTCTGAACCTCTCCTGGTACCTAAACAAAAATGAAGGACCTTCCCATAATCCTGTCTGATGAAACTTATTTGCAACTGTAGGATAAATTAACTTTATTGGGGTTGTAATACACAGACTTAAGCATAAGCCTGGCCAAAATAACCTAATTTCATTCAAATAACTTGGAAGTTTAAACAAATTTACCCACCCAAACGAACATATCTAGTTATTCATACCTACAATTTTATAGTTAGTTTAGATAATGTTCTCCTGTCTATCCAGTTCAACAGATAAGTGAGTGATTTCTGTTCACTGAAGACTGCTCTAGTCCCTAAACCAAACTGCATGTCAAGAGCCAGTTTGTGTCCCACCTCCTTCACTAAGCCATACTTGCCCGTTTTAAGCCTCCGTGACCTCCCTCACCTCTAAATTGCTAGGGCACTTACAATATCTAACAGTAGAGCTCTCAAAATGTTGTCATGTCTTATTCTGATTGTCATTTGTCAGTGTGAATATGTTTTTTGTCCTCAAGCATACTAGAAAATCCTTGAGGACTTCATACATCTGCATACCACATTATCTAACACCAATCTGAGCACACAGTACACCCTCAAACAGTTAATTAGTCAATCAACTAAGCGAGCTGGGAGCCACTGTAATTTTGATTCCAAGAGTGACAACTTAATATTGAGCTGACACACCCAACAGTGCTACTCCAAAACAACCAAGGGTGATATGAGTGGCTTTACAGGGAGGGCGATTCAGAGGCCAGAACACAAGAATATCGTTCTTATAGTGGTAAATAGCTCAATTTCTGACATCTGGTGAGCGAGGCAAATTCAAAGAAAGGCCATAGGATGTCAAGACAAGGTAAGGCTCAACCCAGGAGTACACTAATCAATGACATTAGAGCAAAATCAGTAGAGCACTCAGATACCGTCTTGTCTTAAGGGGAAAGTCCTTGGTACTTAACTACTAGAAAATTTCACGTGAGAAAAAGAAACCATGTATCAAGAAAAGGGGGGCAAAACAATCCTACAATATTATAGCCTAGTTCACACTATTCCTTTCCTCTTCAATCCATAAATGTTCTAGGGAAGGAAATCAGAAAAGCAATAATATCTAGTTATTCAATACAAAGGGGAAGGACTGGGCACATACGGATGAACAGAATTCAACTTAAAATCCCAAACAGAAAGACAACTCCAAGTGGAATTAAACTCTCCCTCAATATATTCTCACACCACCCCATTTACCTTATCACACACAACAGTTTTGAAATGTACTGGTGACCACATGTTTTCCTCTACCAATGCCGCAGTTTCTCCACCAAATGCCCTTTTCTCGAAATGTATCTAGATTGTGGTCCTCGATTCCCTCCTTTATTAAGTGGGACTAAAAAAACACCTACTTCATTGGCTTCGTGCGAAAATTAAACGAGAAAACGCACGCGGAGGGCTTAGTCCAGTAAATGCTTATTTCATGGGTGCGTGACAATAACAATTGTCGTTACCGTTACTGTAAGTCTACAGCCTCCCACAACTCCTTCCTATTTCCCACAGCCGGCCTCCGCCTCTACCTCCAGACACGGGCTCCCGCCAGACTCCGGCCGGACAGACTTCAGGGGAAAATCCTGTCACCAAGAAATGGGTGGCCCGAAGCCCGGGCTCCTACTCCGCCCAGCCAGGACAGCGCCCTCACACCACACAGGCCTCAGAAGCCCGGGCCTAGAAGCGCTCGAGGCATGCAGGCGACCTCCAGCCGTTCGAAAATCAGAAAGAAAGCAGCCAGGGACCCAGCTGCTCCCCGTTTCTCCCCACCGCTCACCTTGCCTCAAAACGGAGCGCCCGCCAATCCCGCCGCGGGACTCATTCAGTCCGTTGAAAATTTGAACCCAGGCTCTTTAGTCGAACGCACCAATCAGAGTGCTGGGAGCCAGCAACCCCAGCATCCCAATTGGCCCTAGAGAGCGCAGCGACGCCGGAAGTCAGGATGGACAAACAAATAACCGGTCGGAGAGGCTCCTGGGAAATGTAGTCTCTCGCGACTGGATGATTCTGTTGGACCAACTCTATCAAGGAAATTACTACAAAGCCCAGAATGCTCAGCTCCAAACTCTTCGGAGGAGGTGTTACCAACTGAAAAGATGGGGAGTCGGTTTAGGTAACAGAGTGGCGCCCGTCCTAAACATCCTCACAACTTTCACGGAAGAAATTTCTTCATTCATTTATTACTCTTCCTGTAGCTGTATACTGTGCCTTGAATGTTCATAGGGGTTCGCTTCATTTGAACATAGAGTTCCCTGTATAAAACAGACTCGCCCCCAGCTTCTCTCCCAATCATGAAGGAGTCTCTCGCACTCTATCCAGTCTCTGCCCTGATATTACTGGTTTAAAGCTACGGTCTATAGGTTACCTCCCTTTTCATAACGACGACGTCTCTTGCTTTATCATACTCGTATTGTAGAAGAGAAAACAAGCAGAGAAATTGAGTAAACTTGTCTGAAATCATATAATAAGTGGAGGAGATGGGATCTGAATTAAGAACGCCGGGTCCTCTTTATCCATTCATTCATCGTAGACAGTTTGCTTCCCCTGGGCTAGCATTTTAGTGCGTAGCATAGGGAACGTAGTCAATAATACTGTAATAACTATGTATGGAGGTAGATGGCAACTAGACTTAATCATGGAGAGCATTTTGTAATATATAAAGATCAAATCACTATGATATACATCTAAAACTAAAAGGCTATTGTATGGCACTTATAATTAAATAAAAATTAAAATGATAAAAAAAAGAACGTCGAGTCCTATACACCATCGATAATTAAAAAATAATAGGAACAAAGAACAAAAAGATCACCGTTCACAACTAACAACATGCTACAGTTTTTTAAAAAGCCTAAGCCATTAATGGGAAAATAAACAAAAACCGGTAAAACTTAGATGAATAACTATAAAAATAATTGGGGTTATCAACCTTCTTAATGGATAAGGAGATCCAATGTTGTAAAGATGTTAATTCTCCATATTAAAATTTCAAGGCAACTGCAGCGAAATTCCAATAGGTTTTGTCATGGAACTTGCCAAGTTGATTCTAAAATTCATATGGAAGTGGAAATGTGGCATTTGAATTTTGAAAAATAGCAGAGGAGAATTGCCATACCAGATCTCGTAAATATTATTAAATCATAGTCATTTTTAAAGTGTAGTCAATTGACTCTATGGGGATACAATCAGCAAAATCCAGGCGAGGAAATTCTTCAGGATAAAAAGATCTAATTTCTTCAAAAATAAACTACAAGTGTGGGTTTGGGTTTTTTGTTTGTTTTTCAATACTCTTTAATTTTAGAGATATGTATAGAAATGGTAGGGATGGAATGATTCTATAATTTTCTTCCAAATAATTGGCAGTATGGGGGGGAGGGAAATAAAATAGGTGGGAGTATAGATGAAACAAGATTAGTCACAACGTGATAATTGTGGAAGCTGAATGACAAGTTCATGATATATACGTACATACATATACCCATATACATATATGTGTTTGAAATTTCCCACAAGATTTTCTTTTAAGTAGGGTATTACCACAGAAATTTAAGTAGAAGAATTTTAAGAGTCCAGGAACAGATCCATGTATGTCAAAATTTAGTAAATGCTGAGTAGAATTTCAAATCAAATAGAAACAAATAAATAATGGAGCTGGGACATTTGCTTTTCATTTGGGGAAAATATTATGTTAGATTTTTATTCCATACCATTTACAAAAAGAAATTTCAATTAATTAAAACCCTACAGATACTTCTAGAATTAAAAATTTTAAAGTTTTAAGAGAATAAACATATGATGCTGGGGTAGGAAATTTTTAAGTAAAACATAGGGAAGAACTAACACATAAAGGAAAAGACTGACCAAAGCAAAATTTTAAAACTCTGTTTGACGAAAGAAGAACAATCAGTCAAGACTGTAGGGTGAAATATTTCTAACACATGTTAACAAAGGATTAGAACCCAAAATGTAAACAAAAAATCTCCTATTAATCACTGAGAAAAGGACAAAGATTCAATAGGAAAATATTAGAGAAAAAAAGCAATTTTTAGAAGAAAGAAATTGTCCATTAAAGACACAAAAAGGTGCTAATAATACTGGAAATTTAAACAAGAAGGTACCATTTTCATTCATCAGATTAACCAAAATTAAAAGTTTGATGGTATCAAGAATTTGCAAGGTAACTCAAGAGGTAGAACAGATGGGTTGGGCAACTTTAGAGAGCAACTTGGTAGCATCTCTATTAAAATATCAAACATGTATGCCCTGTGACCGAGGACTCCCATTTTTAGGTTTACTTCCAAAAGACACACAACCACTTTTACACAGAGGCACAGGCACTACAACATTTTTTGCACCTACTATGTGTCTGTCACTGTGCTAAGTATGGGGATACAACAGTGAAAAGACAATCTCCTCAGGCAGCTGACATTTTAGTAGAGAAGACAGCCACTAAACAAGGTGAATAAATAGATGACGTAGTATATTAGGAGGTGATAAATGCAAAGTTATTTGCTCTCCAAGCCCCAAAGGGTAGATGTCAGTAAGAGGAGGAAGGTGGGGCTGGACAGAGACCAAGGGAGCACAGTGTCTGCCTAGGCTATGGCTGGCTGCCCACTTTCAGCAGACACATCTGCCCACCAGGCGTATGCAGGGCCAAGGAGTAGCCAGGCTAGGGAGGGGGTGAAGGCAGAGGTAGCTTGCTTTATGTTAGGAGGGAAGGGGCATCAGAGCTATGCTGTGTTCTGGTCCTACTAGGCAGAAGGGGCTCAGTGAGTGAATGAGTGAGTGAGTGAGTGAGTGAGCAAATGAGGCAATGCCAGGAAGTCAGGATGTTTGCAAGAACTTCCCAAGTCCTTGCAGACTAACAAGAGGTATGCCTGGCCTGAGGGATTCCTCTCTTATCATTACATCTGCATCAGTTGTATTCTAGATTGAGTCTCAAGTTTCCATTCTTCATGAATGGGCAATTGTGAGGTCTGAAATCACTAGAGCAGAATTTTAAGAGCTGGAAGGAAGCACAGATACATCTAGTCCACTCCATCGACAATTCAATTTCAGTCACTACTTTTCTGGCCTTATCCATGTGAAAGGGGTCTGCAGTTTTAAGCAGGGTAGTTGAGGGACATTTGGTCGAAGACCTCCAGAAGGTGAAGTTGTAGGCAATGCAGATATCTGAAGGAAAAGTGTTCCAGGCAGAGGCAGGAGCATAGCAGGTCAGGGTGGCTGGGTCAAATGGACAAGGAGTAGAGTGTCAGAAGAAGCCAGAGATACTCTGGGGCAGGACTGCAGACCAACCAGATCATTGTAAAGATTTTTTTTTACTCTGAATGAGGTGGGAGTCCTGGGTTGGTGTGGAGGTTTGATCTACTCTCTGCTTTTAATGGGATTAATTCTGGCTGCTGTGCTAAAAAGAGCGGGGATGAACAAGAATGGAACTAGGGAAATCAATTACTAGGCTGTTGCACTGTAGTTGTGAGAAATTTGAAACCACCTAAGTGTCCATAAGTAGGGGAGTATTTCAATAAATTGTCTATAGAATGGAATAAAAAGCATCAGTTCAAAAAGAGTTTGATCTGGAATGACAGGAAGGGATCTTTGAGACACATTTTTTAGTTAAAAACAAATCACTGATTGATATAAATTCATTTTGAAACAATTATATTTTTTAAAAATATGCAAAACAACACTACTTTTAGTAAGGGCATGTATAAATAATAACAGCTAGCACTTATCTGACACTTAACATATACCAGGCACTGTTTGAAGTACTTTACACATATTAACTCATTTCATCCTAACAGTAATCCTATGAGGAAGGTAATGTTATTTCCACTTTATAAGCTGAGGATATTGAGGCTCAGAAAGATTAGATAATTTCTCCAAGGTCATACAGTTTGTATGTGACAGAAGCAGAATTTGAATCCAAGAAGGCCAGCTATAGAAGCCAAGCCCTTCACTGACCTATACTGCCTCTCCAAAACATGGATGTATATATATATAGAGAGAGAGGGAAAGGTATGGAAGAAAACTGTCAAGTGTGGGAACTGCAAAGGGCAAGAAATAACTGGATTTGTGGATAGAAAGGATAGATAATTTGAACTATATCTCTAATTTTTTTTTTTAATGTAGCTATATGACCCAGCAATTTCACTTCTGGGAATTTAGCCAAGAAACAAAACCGCAATAAAGATATATGCACACTGACATTCACTGCAGCATTATTTATAATAGCAAAGCTATGGAAGCAACCCAAGTGTTTAGAAAATGGATAAAGAAGATGTGGTACATATATACAATGGAATATTACTCAGCCATAAAGAAGGACGTCTTGCCATTTGCAACATGGATGGACCTACAGGAACATGCTAAGGGAAATAAACCAGGCAGATAAAGACAAATACCATATATTTCACTTTTATGTGGAAAATAAAAAACAAACAAAAAAAGAAATAGACCCACAAATATAGGTAATAGACTGTTGGTTACCATAGGGAAGGTGGTGAGACAATGGATGAAATAGGAGAAGGGGATAAAGAGGTACAAACTGAAAATTGTAAAATAAGTTGGACATAGGAGGAAATACAACATAGAGAATTTAACTAATAAAATTATAGTATCTTGGTATGGCAATGGGGTAACTACACCTATTACGGCAAGCATCTAGTAATGTATACAATTATCCAGTTACTATGTTGTACATCTGAAACCACATAGTATTATGTATGAACTTTATTCCAATAAAAGATTTCTGAAAAAAAGAATCTAGCCCTTTACTTAGTGTGTCATTTGAATCTATTGTTTCTAAAATAAAGAAGTCCTGTAAGGAAGAGAAGTCTGCAAAGGAGAGAGAAGAAGCCAGTGGTGTAGAAAATTTCTCAGTCTCATCAAGCTCTAATTTTCAAATGTGAGAGAGAAAGAATCAACTTTTAGTCCTGCCCCTTCCAATTCTGCTCCTTCACTCTATGTCTGTCAGTCCTTCCACTATTTAACCAGGGGTCACCAGGCCAGAAATCTGAACCTGCCTTCCAGCTTGGTGAAGGCCTCTTACTTCAATGACAGCCAGTCATTGGCTCTGGGCAGCCATGTGACCCTCAGGTATTTCTAGGTGAGGTGGCAGTGCTCACCCAAGGACTTTCCTCTGGAGAAGACAGCAGTGTGAGCCCTTAGTGACAGCCATCAAAAGGATTCTTAGGGAAGCGGGCACCACTCTTCTTCCACAGTTGGAACAGATATACAGCCAAGCAAAGCAAGTTCTGCAGCTGTTCCCTCGGCTCTTGCTTCGTGGTTGATGTGGAATTCTTTTGGGGGAGGGATTACAGAAACCTCAGCAACACTGCGATTAAAAGGAGTGGACTACAGGAAACAACCTAAATGTCTACCAACTGATAAATGGATAAATAAAATGTGTTACATCCACACAATGGAAGAGTATTCTTTAAAAAAGTGAATGAAATATTGTACTGATACATATTACAACATAGAAGAACATGAACGTTACACTAAGTAAAAGAAGCCAGACTCAAAAGTACAAATATTGTGTGATTCCATTTATCTGAAATGTCCAAAATAGACAAAGCCACAGAGACAGGAAGCAGCTTAATGGTTGCCAGGGGCCAGGGAGTAGGGGGGATGGAGAACGACTGTTAATGTAGAGGTTTTTTTCAATAAGTTGATGTAAGATCAGTGGTAGCCAGGTTCAGAGTGGTGCCTCTG